CATTTTCACGCACCCCATGCATGCCCTTTGAGAAACGAAACGATTTCGTAGATGCGATTGCAAAATCTGCCTCTGTTGAACAGGACTGGCCAATCGAGACCGTCCTATTCCTTGCCCATTCCGGACATCTCAAGTGTGCTAAAAATCTTCGTGTAAGTCGAACAATACAAGCACTTCATTTTAGCTGTATTGTTGCTTCTCAGGCAGATTTTCTGCCATTAACAAAGCGGAAGCGAAAGTTGCGACCAGCTTCGCTAAGTTGAGAAGTCTTGCAATGAAAGAAAAAAACAAATTTGTTAAAAAAGAGCAAGGAGTTTTGTTTGGAAAGAGCTACGGGTCATCTTCCAGGCAAATAATTTTGTTTTCTTTTATGATGTAGCAACTAAAGAACTCATTTTACTAAAGAATAGTTTACTGCATTGTGATGAAAAGTACTCATGGAAATAACAAAAATCATGCTTGGACGTGTGGACTACAACTGCTCTCTTATGTCTCCAAAATCGTGACGATCAGAGCATATTTGGCTTTTTTATAACTTTTTGAAAACGTTGCGTTTTTATTGGCGTTCAGTACATTTATATATTTAATATATGTAAATATTTACTATAAATATATTCCATTATGTTAAAATAGAAAGAGAAAGAGAAAGAGAGACAGAGTCTTCACAACATTTCCTCAGTAACAATGAGTCATTCCCCATGGCGAACCGACCTCCGGTGTTATTATTTCATTGGGTTCCACCCAAGAAATTAAACCCCCATCAATCTTTCGGGCGAAATTCAATCATAAAGAGAGCATAATGATCAAATAAAGACGGGGGAAAAAGAAAAGAAAATAGACCTAAGAAGACAAAAGGTACAGAAAGAGGTGAACAATCTGTGAAGCCGAGAGATTAATGAGTCAAGGGACAAGCTGCATTGTTTGAGATTGGATAATATGGACTACTTTCTTCGCAAGCCGGGCTATTTGCTTTGTCCAAGAATTGAACTAAACTCATTCCGTACGAAACGTTAATCCACCTTTGCGCGCTGTCAATTCAGCCGTCGAATTATATCAGGACGAAAAACTTCCTTATAACTCCGCTTCTATTTGACACTTAAAAATTTTTCCTAGTGTATTTGTTCATTAGTTTGTTTATTTTATTTTGTTTTTTGTTTTTTTCTATCTTCAACAAAACTGACCCAAAACTGAGCAGAAATGAATGATTCATGCATTAACTATTCAGTGTTATATTAGATATGATGTATTTGTGGAGTTTTTTAAATGTTTGCTAAGAGTTAAAAAAGGCGTGGGTTTTTTTCGGGGGGGGGGGGGACAGAGAGTGAGGGCTCAGCAAAGCCTGGCGGTAATCAATAGTAAAAGACGACAACTGCTCAGAATAGAAAACGATTCCGGATTCGCAATTTAGTGCCAATCTCTCTCTCTCTCTTCTCCGCAGCATGCGTTTAGTTTTAGTAAAAGTTTTACGGCACTTGCAGCACAATAAGATCACATAAGTGTCAAAGATTAGAGGTGTTACAAGGGAGTAACAAACAAAAAAGGAGGAGGGAAGAAGAAGAAGAAGAAGAAGAAGAAGAAGAAGAAGAAGAAGAAGAAGAAGAAGAAGAAGAAGAAGAAGAAGAAGAAGAAGAAGAAG